TTTGCCATATTCTCTTCTATATTTCACTATGTTAGGCTCTTTTTTGGTAATAGTTTTTAGGTTAAGTTATAGAGAGCCATGGTGTTATGCTGAAATATTTTGCCATATTCTCTGCTATATTGCGTAACGTTTACATTGTTTTGTATAAATAGTTTTTAGGTTGTGTTATAGAGTGCCATGGTGTGTCATGCTGTAATATTTTGCCATTTTCCCTGCTATATTGCGCAACATTACACCGTTTTCAAGTAATAGTTTTCAGGTTGGGTCATAGAGTGCCATCGTGTGTCATGCTGAAATATTTTGCCATATTCTCTGCTATATTGAGCAATGTGAGACTGTTTATGGTTATAGTTTTGAGGTTCGGTTAAAGACTGCGATGTGGTGTCATTCTGAAATATTTTGCCATATGAAGGGTTGGGAAATCGCAGATTTTGCTCTTAAATATATAGGGTAACGATTTTGGGAGGCGGACCTTACACCCCCACCAAATGTTTCTGGAAGTACCCTCCGGGATGACGAACAACAAAAGAATTTTTGACTAATTAGTAAACTATTATTTATAAAGACAAAATACTGCACAAGACGAGTACAAGCGCATTGTATACAGTTAAACGTACACGGCTAACAGGGACAGGGGTGTCATCCCAACAAGAGATACGTTTCTTTTTCTCGTTTTCACCTTTGGCACGAAAAAAATATAGAAAATTGAAATTCAAAGTAGGTAGTTTGATTTGGGTATTTCATTTTTTAAAAATATTTAAAATAGCTATTTAGACATTGTAATCCCGTAAGAAAACAAAGAAAAAGCGATCGAGGATCCCCGCTGATATGGATCAATAATTATAGGTCTTGGAAAATCAATCCATTTTACAGAAAGCCAAATCGGAGTTTTCAGAATTCGTGCAATGTATATGTGATTCTATCCCTGATTTATTCCTTCTTTTGTTATCATTTTTAAATAACAAAAGAAGAGATTAAATTAGAGATAAAAAAAAAGTACATGCACAAAGCACTAATATTTGAAACTCCGATTTGGCTTATAAGAGTCATGGAAGATTTGAGAAGGGCATAAGTAACAGTTCCAAAGTCTACATTTATGACCTCAACTGCTACGACTACTTCAAATACTTCTGCAACCATTTTCGTATTCTCTTGCCATGTTCCGCTATG